ACTTTTCCCAAGAATGTTTGATAGTAATCAATATTAAAACCTACTTTTTATATCTAAATGCAAATTATATTTTTTGTCCCAACTCTACTCCTTTGATGACTTTCATTGTTCACAATTTAACACGTCTTAACATTTACTTTTCTACATTTTCAAATGAATAATAAATTTTGATTGATTAAAATAAAATTGATGATAATTTCTTTTCACTTTATTTCACTTTGTAATTAAATATTTCGTAAACAATACTTCTGAATACGTTTTATATTCGTTTGCATACTAAAGTACGTTTCAAGGGTTGTTAAACGTGATTTAAATCAATATGAAATTGGAATAAATGTATTTTAAAATTATTAATAATAAATTTTGAATCTTATTCTATATTTTCCTTTTATGATTTTAAAGGTATGGGTGCGTCATACCACATGACGTAGCATAACTATGCACATTACGTGGACAAAGTTGCGGAAATCGGCTAATTGTATATAAAATCAATGAGAAAAACAAAATTACGTATCTGTATATCAAATTTATCTGTTATAAAAGCTACAAAAAATTTTGAAAACTATTTCTTACTCATTACAGAAAGATATAATCTTTTTCTTTGCCGATGACTTCATACATACATAGATCTGTTATAGAATTTTGCTCTTTAAAGGTGTCAATATGTAAACCATATGCTTAACCTTAAAGACTTTAAGTTCCTCTTTTTAGTCCGAGCCTTTCGACCAATAGATAAGGATAAGGGGATCTTCGATAGAGAATGTAAAAATGTGTGATTTATATAAAAACAATAACAAAATTTTATTGGATGAAAATTATTGAAAAATTATAACAACAATTTAAACGTTAACAACAGATGATTTCTTTTACTCTGATCGAGATAAATTACAATTAATTGGTCCTTAGTCGATGCTCCAGTCAGCGCGATTATTCACTTTTACTCGCAAATTAAGCTAAATATCAATTTAAAAATAATTTGACGATAAAATAAACTTCATACAAAAATTTACAAACTTTGAAATATTAACAAGACAAAACAAGACTTACGATTTCAAGAGATGTTCCACGACGATCTGATTTCGATCTTATTTTTTTGACAACTGACTGATGCATCAAACCTTATGTATTCATTTAATCGAATGTGACATAATTAGAAGTCCCTTGCTTCAGGCGCACACAACTTCCCCCGCATGGTCTTTCCTTTTTTGGAAAGCTAACGCTCTTTTTTTAAAATTTTATTGCTTTTCTCAACTATTCTTCGAAATCCTTTATATTTTAGCGAAATCTTAGAAAAACTCAAAAAATAACTTGAGTAATAATCGTTGACCTCAATCCTTAAGTTTTATTGCTATTCATTTTTAGCTTTTTTTAAAATATATTTTAAATAATTATGTAAAAAAATTAAAATACATTCAGACATTACAGATCACTAAATAAGTTTTGCAATACAGCAATACTTTCAATTGGAGGTAGATGAGAAAAGTCATACTAGAAACTTAATGTAATAGAATATTGATTATGTAATGGTAGATACATAATATTTCAGATTTCAGACAGGAGCAACTTTTATTCATATTCCCTTTCTCTTTTTGAGTATATACATGCTTATTTCAAAGCTGCACACACTTATGTGAATAGAGCACATAGCAATTCTATTTAGTTTTTTAGGCTTGGGTCCAAAGCTAGTCAACTTTCTGGTAGAACAAGTTTTATACGTTCTACTGCTCGCAAACGTAAGAACTTGTATCTCCAAATGTGTTAACACGCATCCGTTATTCACCGCAAACGATCTTGTGGGAAGCGCACATTGGTTGACGGTATAGATTTCTTTAATGACCTTATAAAGACAGGTTAACTTAAAGAATGAATTTTCTTTTGTTGCTTGGTAAATCTGCTTTTCATTCTTTTATCATTTGCTTTTAGGCACATAGTAGCACATTCTGAGTACATTCAGGCACAATCTTTGTGGTTTTACTCAAATCAAATAACAAGGTCAAGTTCAGTTAAAAAAAGACCCTCCCTATAAAAATGGCATTTTTTGGGTGATTTTTTACAATAATACGGCACATGATAGCACATCTCAGCACAAATTTTTTTTTCTAAAAATCTTCATATGGTGGGTCCAACTTTATGGACATGAAAAATTATGGTGTATTATTCAAATATGTATCTCATTTAATATTTAGGATACGATAAAACTTTGTCACTCACAACTTCACTACACTCTCTATTATTACGGGCTGAGGTTTTGGGAGAATTTGATGGCGTAGAACAATCTTGACGAAATGTATCTTTTTTTAAAAATTCTTCGATTTAAGCGTAAATTGTTAGAACTGTTTCATATCACTTAGCAAATGCGCACTTTTTCTCTTTATTTATCTGTATGTAATTGGGCTTTGTCCTATTGAGTTTAATTCGATTAAGTCTCTCGAAGGCGACAGTATTACTTCTGTTTATAAGTTATTTCTCTCTACATATTACTTCAATACATTTTTTTCTGTTGTAACTTATTTGGACTTGATTTAGAATCTTTTTTCTTTTTTTTTTGAACTGTATTCCCAATACGAATCCCTGCTGATCATCAATCATTGAAATAAGCCGTTTGAATCTATTGATTGTTATTTTTAATGCTAATAAATAATTAATCATTCAGTTATTAATTTTTTTTACACATTATCCAATGATTCACTATAAACTATCTCTGAATGTATTAGCTAGCTCTTCAAAATTGTACTTTATTGAAATCTCACGCGTTTTTATCTGCCATTGCTCAACCCTATTCTGTACTAATTTAATGCGTTTAGAATAACAGCACAAAACTTAATGCGTTTTTTCAGAAAAAATGGTAAATGTCTTACGGAACAATTTAAGGAATACAGTTGATCAATGCATATTTTGTGATTGCTTGTGCCACAGGATGGAACTTAGCAGGCAAGACAACCAAACAGGCGCCAGAAATTTCCAGCAATAAAACCCTAAAGTTCAACAAAATTTTTTACTATCTATAACTAAGATTCTCGGTGTATTACTCATTTAACGAACATAAAACTAAAACAAAACTGAATCAAGTACGTAAATGACTCTCTGTTATTTGAATAAACTACATTGATAGTTAACAAGAGTAGAATGAATTAATTCAATTAAATTTTCGTTGCCATTTTAGAAATTTCTAAACGTGTGTATTAATGATAATGTTTATATTCATAACAATAACAATTGTTAGTAATCTTGAAATAAATAAATGTAATGAAAATGAACAAACAGAAAACAAAGATAACTAAAAATCATATTTCAATCATTTATATCAAACGATTATTAATTGTAACGACTTTTTATATAGAAAAAGCAAGAAATTAAAGAAAAACAACTGCCAACAGCTCTTTCCGTTAATCTCTACGAAAAACCGCCACCAAAAAATTTTTTTAACTGTTTTAAATCAATGCATAGAGAATTGACACTGCTTTTCGTCTAACAATTTTTTTACTTTACGGAATTAAAGTGTATGTCATCTAAACAGATGGTGTTTTACAAACGTTCACTGTTAAAAAAAATTTAGAATGGACTAAAAGGGGAGGGGGGAGTTCAAAATTTAGACCGAATACAAGCAATTGCTTTTTTTTTAAAGCTCCTCTTCCGTCCGTTCTAGGCCCATTGTCAATTTTCTTTTTCATGAATATAATCATTTAGGAGTAACAAATATCATATACATTCGACGAATGTAAAAAAAAGACTACTTAGTCCTATACAATTTCTCAGATGGTGACGTAATTTTGATTGAACTAACCTTTCGTGAGGAATATTGCGTGTAAAGAAATCAGTCTATCGATAACAATTTCCATCATGTGACAATATGCTTTCTGTACCGTATATATGTATATTAAATTAATCTGCTGTTACAGTCGTGCACTCTTCCAACTCGCTTGTGTTTACATGTCAAGAAAAAGAGCAACGCTGGACGCTGTGCTGCGAGCTCACTTCACGAGAAACCGGGACTACTACAGTAATCAAACACCTGCATGCAGTAACCTAAAAACAATACTAACTTTTCAAGCTTACTCTTTTGATCTTCGAACAGCTGACCCCTGTCTCTCTCTTCGTTTCTTGAGTGGCAGTAGAAAATGGGACTCAGGTTGTTGGCTATGCTCTCGCGAATGAATGAACGCAAATATTGGTAAAAACTACCGACTTTTATTTATAACAAGGTTACTAATTACTGTGTGTGATAATCGTTTTTCACGTTATAAAGCTCGCGTACACTTATACTCTAGGTTAATGTATATGATACAGGAATGCTTAGTCCTCGCGACTACGTTCTTAAGCTTCCGGCTCGGTCTCTCGGCCTTCTGCTTCTCACTCGATGCCTCGGATCGATAGGTCGCTTCTTTCCGGGTTCACTCGGAGGTCTTCGCGTTGTTCGCCTCGCCCTTGGCTCGTGGAGCTCGCACTCATGCGCGTGAAACAAAATGAATTATTAAGGCGCCAGATTGACTCGTCCGTCTTATCACGATCATCCGCTCGCGTTTGCAGCAGCATAGCAACCCAGATAATTAATAAAACTGTGACCGTCTCGCCACAGAGCATGTTCACCTTTCCAACATATTAAAATTCCAGACTTACTGGGGCTGTGACAGTTGAACGATGCAGTTACCCAGACAGTTTCTATTCCGTTGAGAATATAACAGAAAATAAAACTGCCGACTCTTTTATCCGTACGAAATATATACGGAACATTATAGCTGTAAGGTATTCATTAATTATTTAATATGTATTACGATTATCATAGTAATATTCTAAATTCACAATTCTGAATACTGTTCTTTCTAATAATTAAGAGTATTAAGTAAAAAGATTACATATGACTTTTAAAATCAAATTTCGCTTTATGATGAATTGATTTATGACAGCATTCAAATAAATAAAAATGTACTATACTGAGATATTAAAAGTAGTATGTCAGGAATCTGTTCGTTTCATTCCAATTGCATTGAAAATTGAGTTACCTGAAAATGAAGATAAACAAAACTAGAAGAGAGAAGAACACAGCGACGTTGTCCATTGTTCGCAGCATGACGAAGAGTTGACGTCTTAAGTTGGGCATAAAGCGGACCAATTTTAGTATTCTTAGCAATCGAAATGTTCGGAGAACACTCAAACCAGAATTTCCACTCCTTTCTTCAGTGATTGATTGGCAGAGCTCTATAACACTACAAATCATATCATCTAATGAAATATGTAGATATAACGTCTTAAGCTTAGCATCGATAATTTTCATTACAAATTATTATATAATAAGTAGTCAGCAATATCAGAGTGTGATAAGGTCCTGTTTGTTACTTTGAAAGCATAGAGAAAAAATGAAAAATATTAGTGGTCTGAATGCGACCCGAAAGAGTGCACACGACAAACTTCTTAGTGTAAAGAAACCACTAAAACTGACATTGTTGGATGTCAGTAAAACGTTATGCTACGTACACGTTCTAATTGATCCTTAAAATGGAAATTTACAATTGATGGGGAATGTAATTGCTTGAATCTTAATTAACAAAAATTATTAAACTTTTGTTAAATGCCAAGACAATCATGGATATTGGTTTGTGTTTATTTTCCGATCTATAATTCGCATATGAATGAGAATCTTGTGTACATTTCTTTATGACTGCAAAAATATTGTACATATTTGTGAACTTTCTCGATCATTTGAAAAAACTTGACAACTTTCCAGAAGTTCTCATAAGTTAAAAAAGGATAGATATATACATTCCCATTTTTTTGCTACTCACAAGTATCCACCACAACCAAAGCCCTTTTACTCCCCCTTAAAGACGAAGAGGTATTTAGCACAACAACGGGAATTTGAGTAGAGTAGGCGGTGATAAGGATACATACACTTTGGGATGATCTAACCAAAAATAAACTCGTACGTATTGATAATAGATGGAAAAGACTTAAATTTAATTGTAAGATTCAATTTCCGCTTGTTTACATCGATTTGATTGTTGAGAAAGAGAACTCCGAACTCATTTATGTTACAAAACAGTGACTTTAAAAGAAAGAAATTAAGAAAAAAGTCCGGTATAACTTGGAAACATTGCATTGAGTATGTGCAGTTTTATCACATGCATTCGTTGGTGACATAAACAATGATTTACAAGTTTCAATCTATTGTGTATACTGTATGCCTGCACGGAAATCCAATGTCTTTATAAAGTATCTGAGAGATATATCGAAAAAGGTAGTGTCGCCGAAGATAACCCGACTTTTAGGAAAGCCCACTTTGAAAAAAAAATCCAGTTATAATTATTCGAAACATTTGAAATTGCGCTATCTATGTGTCATCTATTCTGTTAGTAACATATACCAGCAACATGTCCAATGTTTCGACTAATCATAACTGTATTTTTTTTTAAGGGGGCTTTCCTAGGAGTCGGGTTATCTTCGATGATACTGACTTATATCCAAAATATATCCAGTCACGAAAAAACTATATCTGGGATATATTCGGGATATTATATTTTTGGCCGAATTTTAAATATCTAAAATATATCCTAGTAATAAAAAAGATATATTCAAAGTACTAACAGAAAGTATCTTATATATACATATATCTACATAAATTTTTAAAATAGAAAAAAAACTTTTACAACTATTTATAAAAAGAGAAAATTTTTTTCTATAAATTCGACCTAAAAAAAAAAATTTTAAATTCAAGTTTGAGGTTTTTAAAAGTATTCTAGAAATTTCCTAAGTAACACCAAAAAAAAAGTTATCTTCTCGGTATCTTTTTGAAATGTAACTTTTAGACTAGAACAGAAATACATCTAAAATATATATTTAATGCAATTTTAATAGTTATCTGTAAAATGATAACCAACAGATGATAAAAAAAAAGTTGTATAATGACATATATCGGAAAGTTAAAAAAAAGTTGACTTTATTTTTAATTGAAAAAGTTATCGTTTTACTTAAGACGAATAGATGACTTTTTAAAGTTAACTTTTTTTTACATACTAAACGATATCTAAGAGTTATAAATTATCGAAATCAATATTTCAACATTCATTAGATATCTTTATGGTATCTTTTATGCAACATCTATTCGGCATACAGTGTAACCCGTAAAAAGTTAACTTTTTCTAAATTCTATTGACGCCATTTTCATTGGAGTACATCAACTAGTTGACTATTGACGCCATTATCATTTAAGTGCATCAATTAGTTGTGACGACTTATTCATGTAAATTATATAAATTAGAAATTTCTGTGAAGTTACGGAATTTCTGTGAATTTAAGTTTAGACAAAGTGTGAATAGTGGTTTTACAGAAATTTCAAGAACAGTAAGTAAAGAGAAATTCTTATCAGCATCAGTAAAAATATACCGGTTATTGTTTTCAATTAAGGTTAAAGATGTCGGTAATGGATGCAATACTCATTTGTAGTGTTTTCGTAATTATTTTAATGAGGGTGAATATAATATCTTGATGTAAGGAAAGTTTTTGTGAATTTTTACGACGTCAACAACTTCGAATGTCAGGTACTCATCATTTCAGAAAAAACCTTTCAGATTTTCTTCCTAATGCAACAAATAATGAAAAATATAAGATCCAACCTCACAGCAATGAAATAACTTCTAAGTTTAATGACAGTCCATTTGATTTTTTTAAATTTCATCAACAATGGCATGTCCTTAATAACGTTTCACAATCAATTACTACTCAGCTTTTGTGTGGTTTAAGGAATATAGGTTTTTATTATCTTCTGTCTTGTGCTAGAACTCTTGTCAAAACACTACGAACAAATAGACATGAAGTAGTAGGGAATCGTCTTTTTTTCTTATTCTGGAATAAAAAAGCTATATTAGATCAATTATAATATATTGCGACATGCGGTATTTTATCAGATATCAATTGATGGATTAACGTCGATGGTATACCCATTTCTAAAAGCTCACACAGCGAGTTATGGCCAAATCTGGGAATAATAGATAATCTTGTATTTTCTGAAGTGTTCGCAATAGCTGTATATTATGGAAAAGGCAAACCTTCGTCAATTCATGATTACTTAAATAGTTTTATTACTGAGTCTAAAGACTTACATACAAATGGTTTTGTCTATAAGGGACGTACTTTCAAAGTTCATTTAAAATCATTTTTAGCTGATACACCAGCAAGAAATTATTTAATGTGTTTTCCCGGACATAATAGACGGTGTGTGCAAAAAGGTTCTACTATCAACCACCGTTGACTTTTTCTTGAGATGAATGCATCTCTTCGTACAGATAGCAATTTTAAAATAGATGTACCTAAAACATTTTCAAATATAAAATCACCCTTAGAAGATATTGATATTATCGTAACAACACAGTTTCCTCTCGATTATATGCATTTGGTATGTCCAGGTGTCATGAAAAAGCTAATAGGTATTTGGATTGATGTTTTTTTCAAAAATGCGAGAAGTAAATGGTATATTTACTGCGTTTAATGGAATGTATTGCCAATTAGGGAGTTGTCTACCAAATGAATTCGGTAGTAAACCACGATCTATGTTAGATTACAAGCGATGGAAAGCGACTGAATTCCGTACTTTTCTCTTATATTTCGATCCAATAGTTCTTCAATATTTATTGGAAGAAAATATTTATTCACTCTAATACTTTAAGTTGTGCGTGTGGCAGTCTGTGATTAAAATCGATATAATATTAACATAGATTATGCCAATGATTTGTTGGAATATTTCGTTACCGAAATGCATACATTATATGGCAAAAATCATTCTATTTGTAATATTCATAATCTATTACATATATGTGATGATGGTCGACGATATGGACTACTCGATAATTTCAGTGTGTTTGAGTTTGAAATTTTTTTACAAATTATTAAGAATAAAATTAAATCAGAAGCATTTATATCTCAGATTATGAATATATTGGTCAAAAGATCAAAGTCTTTACCTCGTCCGCATCATAGCCACAGTGAATATCATTTATTGATTCTAAATGAAAAAATTCAATCACCAGATAGTTATAATAAAGCGTTTGACTCAATTTAATTTTCGAATTTCGAGTTATTTTCTCAACCACCTAATAATTGTTGCTATTCGAAAGATTACACAGTCGTTATAATCACACATATCTGTCATGATACTAAAAACTCTGTAATTATTGGTCATCACATTGTCGATCCATTGCTTCTTGATGGTTATTCTTGTGACTCCAGAGCATTAGGGATATACAACGTCATGCAAGTTGGTGCAGAATCAAAATCATGATCAATAAGTGAGATAGATCAAAAAGGTTTTGTGATCCGTATCGAAAATTTCTATTATGTAGTGCCAATAATTCATAAGACTTTAAAAACATACTGTAACAATACGAGAGCAGTTCTATTTTATTGGTAAAAATGGGCTCGGCAAGATGCCATTCTGCCCTCTGAACATACATAGTGGAAATACGATGAGAACAAACGGCGCAAGATTGAAACTAGTACAATAGACAGAACGAAAGTTAGGATATACAACATACTACTAAACGAATACAAAAGTTAAACTTAAAATTAAAGAATACAAAAGTTAAAGTTCAAATTATTAAGATTATTACAATAAAGAATATGAGTAATTGACAATAAGAATAACAAACATTAAATAATTCTTTTTCGGATTAATTCGCATATAAAAAATATATTCATATATATATATATATTTATATAAAGATAACTTATTTATATAAATTTAGGTATTCTGTTAATAAATCTACCTAACTCTATGATCACATTAGGATTGCATTCAAAGATGAACGATTTAATACTATAAGGGGGAAATCTTCCCAGAAACCTCAAGGATCTGAGCAAACTCTCCCTTTCCTCATTATAAAGAGAACATTCCCAGAAAACATGTTCATCCGTTTCTTCAGCAGCACCACAATCACACTGTGGCGAACTGACAATATTTAAATAAAAAAGACTAGCTTTGAGAGAGGTGTGCCCAGATCTCAGTCGGTTAATGGTTACAATAGTTCTCCTATTAATATTTAGTTTATGAAACCAGCAACGAGGGGAACCCTGAGAATAATATTTAAAAAAAGATTTGCCTTTATTTTCATTAATAAATCTTTGGACACCCCAATCAAGGGAATCTTTGAACAAATTAGACCTCCAGGCTGTTTTAAAATCATTTAAAGGCAGAAGAACCTGTGAGTCTCTACCAGAA